CTTCGTTATCGTCGCTATAGAAAGATATGATATAAAATCCTAGAAAGTATATTTAATTTAGTACAGTGAAAATAAATATAGGGTAGGTTATATATATTACGAAATCAAAAATACATATTCATCGCCGGAAAGAGTCAGTCGTCAAGATTAAATAAATATTTTCAATTGTTGCGTCACTTTAGTCATTGTTATGCAACTAACAAGAACGCTATTGTTCCAACATGGTTACATGATGTTCAAAGTATGTAGATATTGCTCGAGACTAGGCCTATATGCTACAAAAGAGACTTGTTGTTCAGCTTTTTTAGGAATATAGTAAAAATAGTGTGAAACCCAACTTTTTAATATTTAGTCAATATAGATGAAGCAAAATAGTATATTTTCTTATGTGAGGCGAAATAATAACAGCGGCGAAGGTCAGGACGGCAATGAGCAAAGTATTCAAATGCAAAAGGAGGCACCTGCTCCGAAGCGAACCAAATGTAGTTCAATTGCCAAAGTTAGAAAAGGGGATGAAACATATTTGAAATACGGCTTTTTTTTGTCCGATGACCAGATTCTGAATGCAGTTCCACAGCCCGAATGTCTGATTTGCTGTAAAAGATTCCGTAACTAGCTAATTCCGCACTAGCTCCAGCTAAATTACAAAGGCACTTGGAAGCCAGTCATTCTTCGTACATGACAAAAACTATATCATAATTTGAACATGTGAAAAGCGGCGCATGCAAGCAAAAATATTCCTTCTTGAGAGCAGTGAATACTGATCAAGATTTGTTAGTGACTTCATATCGACGTTCGCATCATATTCTTAAAACAAAGAAACCGTTTACTTTGGTGTCAATTTCCCAATACCCACCTATTTGTGCAAATCAGCATTTCTCTGTTTTAACAACATAAAAAAAATTGTTTAAAGACTGTAGACATGAATACTGTGAGTATGAAAATTGCATTGAGCGCCGTGGAGCCACGATTCAAGAAGATTGCAAAGGAAATGCAAGAACAACCTAGTCATTGAATTTCACGCTTGTTACCTTCTTTCTGTTTCGTTGAAGTAAAAATATTTGAATTACAAATTTTTCGTGTTATGAATATTTCGTTTTTTTTTTAATTTTGTTAATTGGGGTTCCATAAAAAACGAAAAATTATATCAGGGGTTCCACAATAACAAAAAGGTTGAAGAGCACTGTTTAGCACGAGAATACCGATCAAATCTAGCCTTCCTTGAAGTTACAGCACCGTACCTATTTGAAAACGTTATATCAGCTAGTGCTCAATTAAACATGCTATCTATGGTAAGGATCTACAAATCTTTAATAGCTTACTTATACCTTTTAACACCGTCTTAGCCTAACTTACTAGTAATAACTAAAAAAGACAATGGAAACTAAGAAGCGATGCAAGAGCTTAAAGTACAAACTTAGATTCATCCGCCCGCCCACAGCTAATAAAATTTCCATTGTTACGTCATGCAGAAGTCTGGCCAATGTTGCCGAGAATTTGGGACAGAGGGTAGCACATATTTCTTGTAGTAAAAGCGTCTTTTTCGTGAAACGTGCAACTTTCGGGAATGGGAACATGGTATTATTTGTTACCTAATTTCCGAGGAACATTTTAAAATTACTTCCAAGTAGTTCTCTATGTGCGCTACTGAACTGAAATATGAACGGCCTCGACTCGCGGCCTAATTCCTGGGGAAAATATTCGCCATTTTTTTTGTTATCGCGGGCCGGATGAAAGGACGCCACGGGCCGTAGTTTGGTGACCCCTGCTCTATATTGAATAGCAAGCATTACAATTGTGCGTAAGTGTAAAAAAAATGCTTGCCATTGCACCCCTGGGTAGGTTACCCGGAATAAATTAGCAAATCCTATCCTAACAGTGATCTGAAGTAGGGATGGGCCGGGATGCGGATCCGGACTCGGATTCGATTTCGAGTCCACGTCGTTTTTATCGAGTCTATAATCAATTCTGTTTTCATTAATTTACGCCTATGTTTGTACTTTTACCCCTATAAATCTCACCACATACCTTAACTAGTTGTAATTCAAGGTTAGATATGTAACAATATCACTCGTGTGTATTATAAACACTCCTAATAAAAACGACGACAGATATCCAAATAATATATCGCAAGTTAAAAACTATTGATCGCTTATAACAATGATGCGCCAGTCGCCTTCAAACTATCTATACTTTTTGGTATACATGTGGTACACATAAAATATGTGTTACTGTTAGCGCAATATTTTTGAGTTTTCCATTCGCGTAAATAAATATGAAACATGCGCAGGATCAACCCAAGGGGAATCTCACCAATACCTCTTTTGAATCGAGTTTATTACGTGCAATCCTTTCTCTAAAAAGGGAGCAATGGAAAGCATGGAGCGATTTATAACGTTTACATGAACTACTAAATTGCAAGCATTGTATTGACGACGAGTGGCATCTCTCTACCATTTGCGCACGCGACATAGTAAATTTAAGGCTAGAAATATCTGGAATTATGGGAAAACATTGTAGTCAAAAGCTTTTTTATTTTTCATATTGACATGTAAGAATTTCTAAATAACCGTCCAGCACAAAGTGGAAAGTGGTGGGCTGGAAATCCAGTTCACAGCAAAGGCGCACATTGACCAACGTTTACGTTTGTATTGTATATTTATTGTTTGTATTATGGCCGCCAAAAAAGAAGAAAAATATATTTTGATATTGATTCAACAGCTATTCGCGGAACCCTTGGGGAAAATTATGAGCTACGACGTATGCTTGTATGCGCGCGATGCTGTAGTATGGTCAAAAACGTGTTTTTCTACTTTTAAATTGTGACGTCACGGACTCGGAGGATTCGATTCGAGTCCTTGACCTATTACTCGAAAAAAGTGAGTCATTGATCAACATTATATTTGTTCACAAATTGGCTTTCTGGCTATGGATTCATTTATTTAATGGAGAATAAGGATGAATGAAAAAAAATCAGGACATAAACAAATTGATTCTAAAATTACAAATTTGAAATATGAATGCAGCGCTGTTGCGTATTAACTCTGTGGTATCTCAATATAGTAGAAATGAGCCCAACTCAGATTATTGCTGAACGCTGCAATATATATTGTTTTCGTCCTTAAAATATATTTAAATCAATCAACATTTTCCACAACATGCATTCTTTTGTCTTAATATTATTTGTGGGATAATGACTCGGCATGGATTGCAGATAAACACTCTTTTATACTTCATTAAATACGATTTGACGAATTATATCTCGGAGAAATGGTACTTTAAGTTGTTTTCGATTAGCCAAATTTGCTGATGTTATGAAAAATTACCAATTTCTTTGTAGACTTGGCATAAAATGAAAATATGTTATTGAATGCTGAAAATTTGCAACAATTGAAGCGAACTTGTTTGAACTTGTCCAAAATAGCTTTACATAGGAAAAAAATTAAATAACAGTAATGAAGGCACGCAACATCATTATGGCTCACTATACCGTTACTGTACAACACCAGAGTTGCAATATTGTAATAAAAAAAAATCAACCACTTTCTAAATTGGTTTCTAATGAAATTTTGAACATTTTAATGTATATTGATAATTAATATATACGCAGAAAGACTTTGTTAACTATGATTGTAGTATACGAAAAAAAATCAAATTCTGTTCACTTTTTGTCACCAACATTAACGTTATGTTACCACGTGTTTATTTTGTGAAAATATCGTGATATAAGAAACAGTATAATGAGGTGTGATGAAGTTTGTTAGTCATTTCTCTGAAATCAACTATATGGTGGGATTAAATGAAACACTATGATGTTTCATCATGACGTGTCTTGTGTATTTCATCATGTTCCGTCATACTATTGTTTATTTTCTGAAATAAAAAAAATTAGTCTCGACAGTGAGTCAAATCATTTCCACATAACTACATACTGAGCAAAATTGTATCAGAATATCTTTACGCCATCAAGTTTTGAGAAATGTGGAATAATGAATTACCTTGATCATGAAACAAGGAAAGTAAGGAAGCTGCGATCCGTTCCTTCGACATTTGTATAAAAATTAATTACACAGATGCTGATCAAACGTTTTGTTTCAGTCCAAAACACGACCTCGGAGGACCTTGATGTTGCAACGTCTTTCGTCATTACCTTTCTGGCCGAAAGTCGTAGTATGTACAACTAATGGCGTAACTATATTCCTACTAAAATCCAACGCCCTTTTTTATACATAATTATACAAAAGGTACAAAACAAGTAATTATGATATAAAATATATCTAATTGATCTATATTTAACCTTAAAGTGTGGATTGAGTTGTATTTTGAGATTTTACAGGGTTGACGTATCTACAGGATTGACGTAGAACCATATGGTGTCAAAAACAGCCAGCACCAATTTAATTAAGGCTGTTTTAAAATATCTTAAAAATTATTTTGAGGTAAATTTGTATTGAAGATTTTTTTCGTTTCCAATACATGATAATTTTAATTTGATTCGATCAAAACGGACGCTGTGATAATATTTCGATTGAATTCCATATTTGAAAAACATCATGCGAAAACTGAAATTACGCGTTTTTCGTATGCTCGGCATGTGTTATAAGCTGCGATTTGAAACCACGGTTTCCTCGTTCCAACTAGCATGAAATGATGAAATATAAAAATTAACACCCATATTGGGAGATTGTGATATTGTCGTCAAAGATGCGGCTTCTGTATGACTGGCGCCATGTAAATATGGAACGTCAAATATTTTTTCTCTGTTTTGCCACAAAGTTTGATAATATCCCAGAAAATGCTCATGAATTTACAATAACGTAGAAATATCCACATACTTTCTGGATTTGTCAACGTACCTTGTCGCGACACCGAATCAACGAGGTAAGGAGAAGCAAGTATTAAAATGCCATCAGCGTAATATGTGGATTATGAGAAAAATTTTTGTTTCGAATCAATAAAAAGTACTGACATTCATCGCAAGAAAATTCCTTGAGGAATGCTTGAAAACGTATAAATAGATGGAAAGTCGTGATCATGATTAACACCGACGAAGCAGAGAAGCAAAGAGGAACTGACAAAGGTATACTACTTCAACGATTATTATCGCATGGTATTAATTGACAAAAAAAAACACTTTCAAAATGTCCTTGGTACACTATTTAATCTCAACAATTCGGAAATGTGGTGCGACCCGACTTATACCTGCACAAGATAAAGTACCGTCGTTTTTGAGCTAATTTTTGTTTTGTTAATCTCTTACGCATTTAAAGCACCAGCTGAAAGATAAAGAAATTTTCCATTGATGTGATTAATAAATGAAACTAGGTTAATTATAGTGTCAGTATGAACACAGAGCAAACTATAGGTACTAGAAAATTTCTTAAATTTCGATTACCATAACTATATTCTCTGTAATTTTTTAGATTATGATGATGAAAATATCTTTCCTCCTGGTGATACTTTTTGTAGCAGAATTTGGAACGTCTGCCAAATTGAAATGTTTCCAATTACGTTTCAAATTAGGAAAACAACAGTGTTCTCCAAGTAAGTTTTAACATACTACGCACATGTTAACGTATATTCATCAGCGCTAATTCGGTTTGTTATGTCTATAATTTATCGTTGCATCACAAACGAAATAACGCCTCCTGAGGCTACAGATTTGTTTACGCAGTAGCGGGAATTCGATCTTATTTCAAATCACGTATTGAAAAACTTGCTATTTTCTCCGATCAGGCACCATCAGACTTTGTGCTCACAATTTGAGAAACTATACTATAACCGGATGGTCCAAATATTATTGTCACAGTGTGTGAGAATTTCAAAACTTAATTTTATAGAGACAGCAACAAATACCATTTGCCCATAGCTCAAAGTATGCCCTTTTCGCTTATCCTATTCATTTTTATATTTTCTTTACAGAGAAAGGTTTTGAAGGTGACATGGTACCATGCTACAACTTGTGCACGAAAAAATTGGTCAAAGTTGAAGACTGCAATAACCATCCAAAAAATCAACATTGCTGTATTCACGACTGCAGATGTGTTATGAGAGGAAGTGAGCTCTAGCATTTCATATTATGAATCTTGCGTGGAGTTCTTGTAAGCGATCAAATTTGGCATAATATTTGTGTATATATTTTGTTTTACGTTTCCACTTAAATTGAACAATAACATGATAAATTTAATATATATCGTAAATTGTAATGTTTATCAATTTGAACACCATCATACGATTTCGTAAAACATACATACAATAGTCGCGTTAGGAATAACCGCTTGTAAACAATAATTATATATCAATTTATAACAAATACACATTTTATTTTAGCTGGTAACGTACTTATTCCACCGGAATATAAACTCCCGATGACACTGAAAAAGAAGTCTGCCTTTATGAAATCAGAAGTCCAAAAGGGTTGTACTCCGAAAACTAAAGTTCGTTCTGCACGAAGACGTAGACCTTCATTAGGAAACACAAGACCCAGTATTGCCCCAACACCTCAAAAAAGACGAAATCCGATGAAGGCAGCCAAACCAAAACCTGCCCGTGAGTTAATAAAAGCATCTACTCCGTTTTCATCGACCAGTACGTCCAATTCTAAAAATGTAATCTCTACTACTACAACAACGCCGTGTAACGCTACACAAAAAGTTCCGAAGATAGCAATCAAATTTGCGACAAAAATGTCAGTCATTTTTCAGCAAATGGGTCTGGGATGGCAATTGGACGTTATTGGCCCATGTTCAGATGTATAGCACATCGTCAGTTTATTCTGATATATATCGGTTTCTGTGACGAAGACTGCACATTGATAAACTGTTCCACCATTCAGTATTATTGAATATGTGTATTCACTGGTTTTCTGTATATATATTGAATAATTTCATTGTTTATATTTTTTGTTTGTACTATGCGAAATATGTTTATATTTACATATATATACCACGTATAAATAAATTTCATCTGTTACTACCAATTTCAATTTGCATTGATTTATTGAAATTGATTAACGTTCGATTCAAATACAATATATTACTATTCTCCAATACTTTTGGACTCATCCATTTGAATGAGGCAAAATAAGACGTGGTGCTCGAAATCTTTAAAAGCGAAAATCTGAACAACAAAAAAACCTGAAATTATTGGCTAAAATTTATTCCGACAGATAGAGGTGGTTTGGGTATACGAAAGTCTCAAATATGAAAGGACGAAGAATAGGTGATATGTCGGTTGGGAAAAAAGATATTACTATAACGACTGATTCTGAAAAAAAAGCTAATGGATTTTATCCCGTTGTATCGGGAATAACTATAAGATTAAATCTAAAGCGAAAGAAGTTGCCGATATTCTTCTGAATGTGCAGAGTGGTTAAGTCAATAAACATTTTTTAAACTAAAAATAATTCATTAAGAACGTAACCATTTTGTTACGTGTGTATACTGTATATACCAGTCATTGCGCCGAATCCAATCATCTACCTTGTTTCGATTTCATCGCCAGCACGTAAAAATAAAACCGACAATAAATACAAAGTTGATTGAAAATACGTGTGACGAGGAAGTCATGGAAACGCGACAAAACATAAAATAAATTCTTAAATACTGAATCAAATAAATATTCAACTATGTTGGATTACTACACGTGAAATACAAATAACACAAGACAATTTAATATTAATAACACTCACAAAATCATATATACCATATTGTACGGACTATAGAGCGCACTGTCAATAAATTGGTTAGATTGGTTTTTATTCATACTATTAGGCGCAACGGGTACTATTTTTAGTATGAACAAAAAAGCATAACGCACTATACCTGATCCATACCTTTGGCAGCGCCAACTGAATATGCATATACAACCAATGTCATATGCATATACCACCAATTAATATACAAATACAGCCATTTTGGCGATGCACTTGCAAAAGTCATTATAATATGCATTTACAGATAAATTAATATACATAAACGGCCAATCGAGTAATGTACATATCCAGCTTATTCAATATGCTCATATGGACTACGCAATATAGCTGTAAACCTAACCACTCAAGTAATGTACACAATCAGCCAGTGTCATATATATATGTGTATAGGTAACCTTATGTACTTCTTCTGAATGCATTTCAGAAATTCATACAATTTTATATGCATATACTACCAATTTAATATACATATGATTCATGTAATGTACATATACAACCAATGTCATATGTACTTATAGTCAACTCAATATACATATACAGCCATTTAAGTGATGTACAAACACCGCCAATCCATTTCATATCTATGCACTCACTATTGTGTACCAATACGCTCACATCTACAAGTCGCAAGCTTGGAAGTCATAAGTGCGTTAAAAATGACTCTCAACAATCAATGAGCTCCAAATAACGAATAGTAAGGCAAAAGTTTTTTTTTTCAAAAAACACGTGGGAAATACGTGGGTGGAATGGTTAATAAATATACAAGCGCAACAGCTCCCTGCATTCTCTGAACAAATGTAAATATCCAAAATAAGGCGGACAAAATCAAATGTAAAAATTATTTTTATTTAGATGCACGCCCCCTCAAACAAATGTCTACACCGGACCTTGTGAAGCGCGCCTCCCCGTTTGAGTGGCTAGTTTGTTCAACCTGAAGGACGTAAACCAACAATCTCTCTCGATTGCAGCATACACTTTCTCAAACCCACCAACGACCATAAGCTCTTTTAATGAAAACTGCGACCATTTCCAGTATCACAATGCAAGATTGAACAACTTCTATCCAATTGACTGATTTCATTCCTCCCTATTCCTCCCTTCATCCCTAACACAACGCATATAGATAGTATTATAGTATTATGCGCGTTGAAAAGGGAAATAATTTGTTTGAATCGACAAACAGCAGAAATTCTAGAATTAAAAAAGGTAATATGAAAAGTTTCAAATACAAAGCACTGTTGCAAATAAATATATTTAAAACCTTTTTTTATTTAGTTCGACGTAAAATTGTATACCTACCAGCGTTGTATACAATGTACATGTGAATGATACTTATGAATGATACAATGTATACAATGTATATTGAATTGGTACTCCACTCAATTGGTAAAGGAGTCATAGGCACAAAGTTTAGAGTCAAGGCAGGCATATACAGAACAAATCAGCTGAAAAATATAAATGTAGTTGGGCATTTGAGTGTTCAAATTATTATTTCCTGAGAGTAGTGAGAAAAGAACATTCGCATGTGAACCTTGTTTGGCAACTTATGGAGCAAAGTCTGAAGTTCATACATTTATAGATTTTTAGATAAAAATTTAGCGCATTTTTGCAAAGCGTCCTAGATTTTTTAAACATTCGCGTACAAAATGAAGTTCAAGCGCAACAAATCAAATATTATATTTCATTTTTGTAGGAGTAAGTAATTAAGAATATTATGGATTCAATTATTGTGTAAGTGTGCAGCAAATACCCTTGAATTGAATGAATAGTCATTTTCACTCTTGCTACAGCATCATTGCGTTATACACATAGCCTACGGATCCACCAGCACAAAGGCATATAGAGCAAGTAAAGCTAGTGAGTTTCACGTTAAACCAACTGTTAGTTCTATTTTTTTTGGTTACTCTTAGAATATTTTCAATTTTAATTGGGGTTCCCCTTTACTGAGATTGCAATGTGGTAATTCCCATACACGCCGGAATGTAAATGCAAAATTCTGTTGAGGAAGAACTCAATGAGAACATAAATAAGATTGCCAAAACGCTTTTGATACAAGATTGTTCATATAGTTACCAAGCGAATTTTTGAATTGAAATATTGAAATAAACATTCATTCTAATTACATTGTGCACTCGTGCAAAATATTTCAACTGTTGGATAAAACGAATGTTTTCGCTTTTACAAAATATGTTATTTCATTTTTCATTCGGATGGGGTGTAAATTGAAGATTTTGGCCTTGAAACAAAATTTAGTTCTGAACCTACGGATTTTATTTCCTTATATAACATTAAAATATGAATTCATTTGAATTGTTCAATCATTCAATGTTTCAATATTTTCCGAGGTTGGCAGATTGAGATAATGGCATCTACGGAAAGAAAGTGATTTATAGCCTTGGACCAGCGGTTCTCAAACTTTTAAATACAATATATTATGTAAAATATTAACTACGTTTCCATATACGTTGATGCTTGACATACAGATAAACTTTACGCGTAATCACTGCGTTTCAGTCTGGTAAATAGGTACACGACAATATTTTGTTAATATGTTTTGTATTCAAGTACATATTGTACATTTTGTGGAAAATCAACCATGTGAAACGGAATTTATGTTCAAAACAGTATCCAATGATTCAATACAGTTGCTTGGCAGTTCTCATCGTAATTTTGGAGTATTGAGTTAGTTGGCTCAGCCTAAAATTTGGAAGTATGTGTTATGTGTTATATGAGGAAGAGCATGTTATGCGTGTTAGCGAGAGCAATGAACAAATATATAGACACAATAGTTCAAGAACTGATACCGGTAGCCAATGCAACTCGCGAGGAAATGTAACTGAGCACTGAGTTCGCAACCTATTTCAAATAGCCATGATTCAATATTTATGTTATTCAAAGAAATCAAATGTCATAACAACTGTTTGTTTCATGGTAACAGAACAATTGTTTTACAACACAATTTAACTAAGATATGACATTATTAAATGATATAACATACAAAGTTATTGACTGCAGCAATTTGTGCTCAGTTCGAACCTTGATCGAAGAACATTACACGTCAGATTTAGCTTTGGGAAAGTATTTGAATTGCACTAAAGAAGATTTAATACCGACATATTATACTCTAATAGAGGTTGGCTAATTAATTTATCAGATTTGGAATATAATATATACACATAAGTGTATATAACAAGTCGATTGTCTTGTTTGGTTTATTAATTGTAGACTGGTGGTCAAAATTCAATTTCTCCTCTTTAGGTTTGAGTCTAAGTTATGTAAATCATATTGTAGCAGTTGTTACAGTCTGTTATCATTGTTGTGTAAAAACCAAAGTTTTAATTTTAAGTTTGTTTAGTATATATGATATTTACAGCGATGTACAAATGGCTTTTCGTTTTACTCATGAAGCCAGTCGTGGTAATTACTGATATATTTAAATTTAATTCCAGCCATTTTTAAGCCAAGGAAATTCAATCGGAGCTTTTCATGGTAAAGATGATGATTTATGCGGAGTAGCTATCAACGTAAAGCCTAATCGTAATGATGAGATGAAATACTTAAACACGCTTCATTTAAACGAAAAGAATGCAGCTATCGAACGGGTAAGATATATCAAAACGCCTTAAATATATAGAAAATTCAAATATGAACCCAATATTAGTCTCGAAATATGTTTTTATAAGAAAATCAACTAAACTCATCTTCTAAAAATAGAATACTTACAAAAGCAGAATTTTTTGTCACAAAGTTTATGGATAAGACAATAATAAAACTATGAATAAGTTCCGTGAAGTTTTATTACACCGCAGTTTTTTTCAAACCCAATCCAATCGTTTTACGAAATTAAGACTGCAACCAAGTTAGTCGATCGTTACTATTACAAATACGAGTCCAAATATGACAACGATATGCGCGTCGGAGACTTATTCAATAGTCGTCGCTGACCAGGATATATTTGACCTAACTGGTTTTAAAACCTGTTAATTTTCCGCAGATTTTCGAGAAAAATGTCTTCTCCGTAACAGTTAAGATAAATTTTACATTGTGATAACTGGAGGCAAGTGTGTACATTCTCTCTTTTTTGATTAGCTCATGACATCGGTGAGCGGTGATGACATGCCAAATACTCTTGGAACTGACCGCTACTGGGAAATAAAAATGGTAACTGTGCATCCGAAATACAGAGGAAGAGGTTTAATGACTGAACTTGTCAAAAGGTATGAATATCCAGGAGACATTCAATAAAAATTACTAGAATTATTGTTTTAACTACGTTGCTAGCACCAGCTGAAAGCCACTCTAGATTTTTCGTTGTTCAAGTGTTCAT